GCTTTTATTTGAGGGTATTTACATCCAAATCAGGTGAACGGTGTAGGAATTACAACATTTGTGCCTCCCACTTGTTAGGGGACCAAAAGTAATGGGACAGAATAAGAACCATAAATGAAACGTATACATTTCAATACTTGGTTGCAAATCCTTTGCAGTCAATTACAGCCTGAAGTCTGGAACCCGTAGACATCTCCAGACGTTGGGTTTCACCCCCTGGTGATGCTCTGTCACGCCTCTACTGCAACAGTCTTCAGTTCCTGCTTGTTCCTGGGGCGTTTTCCCTTCAGTTTTGTCTTCAGCAAGTGAAATGCACGCTCAGTCGGATTCAGGTCAGGTGACTGACTTGGCCATTGCAAGACAGTCCACTTCTTTCCCTTCAAAAACTCTTTGGTTGCTTTTGCAGTATGCTTTGGGTCATTGTCCATCTGCACAGTGAAGCGCTGTCCAATGAGTTCTGAGGCATTTGGCTGAATATGAGCAGATAATATTGACCAAAACACTTCAGAATTCATCGTGCTGCTTTTGTCAGCAGTCACATCATCAATAAATACAAGAGAACCAGTTCCACTGGCAGCCATGCATGCCCACGCCATGACACTTCCAGCACCATGCTTCACTGATGAGGTGGTATGCTTAGGATCATGAGCAGTTCCTTTCCGTCTCCATACTCTTCTCTTCCCATCACTCTGGTACAAGTTGGTCTTGGTCTCATCGGTCCGTAGGATGTTGTTCCAGAACTGTGAAGGCTTTTTTAGATGTTGTTTGGCAAACTCTAATCTGGCCTTCCTGATTTTGGGGCTCACCAATGGTTTACATCTTGTGGTGAACCCTCTGTATTCACGCTGGTGGAGTCGTCTCTTGATTGCTGACTTTGACACAGATACACCTACCTCCTGGAGAGTGTTCTTGATCTGGCCAACTGTTGTGAAGGGTGTTTTCTTCACCAGGGAAAGGATTCTTCAGTCATCCACCACAGTTGTTTTCCGTGGTCTTCCGGGTCTTTTGGTGTTGCTGAGCTCACCGGTGCGTTCCTTCTTTTTGAGAATGTCCCAAACTGTTGTTTTGGCCACGCCTAATGTTTTTGCTGTCTCTCTGATAGGTTTCTTTTGTTTTTTCAGCCTAATGATGGCTTGCTTCACTGATAGTGACAGCTCTTTGGATCTCATCTTGACAGTTGACAGCAACAGATTCCAAATGCAAATAGCACACTTGAAATGAACTCTGGACCTTTTATCTGCTCATTGTGATTGGGATAATGAGGGAATAACACACACCTGGCCATGGAACAGCTGAGAAACCAATTGTCCCATTACTTTTAGTCCCTTAACAAGTGGGAGGCACATATGAAAATGTTGTAATTCCTACACCGTTCACCTGATTTGGATGTAAATACCCTCAAATAACAGCTGACAGTCTGCAGTTAAAGCACATCTTGTTCGTTTCATTTGATATCCATTGTGGTGGTGTATAGAGCCAATAATGTTAGCATGGTGTCGATGTCCAAATATTTATGGACCTGACTGTATCTATAGTTTTAAAATGAGTTGTTTGTTTAAAATCTGTGGAGCTAAACATTTCTTCAGCTGAATGAAGACAAGACTGAGATCCTCATCTGTGCCCCAGACAAGCTGGTTCCCGAAGTCAGGGACTCTCTTGGTCAGCTTGCTTCTCACACCAAACCCTCCATCAGGACTCTTGGCGTGACCTTTGACCCAGCTCTCACCCTGGATTCTCATGTCAGTTATCTTGTTCACTCTTCCTTCTTCCATCTCAGGAACGTTGCTAAGCTGAGTCCCATTCTGTCTCGGTCTGAACTTGAGACAGTTCTCCACACCTTCATCTCCTCACGCTTAGACTACTGTAACTCTCTTTTCACGTGTCTGAGCAGAACCTCCCTGAACCGTCTACAGGTGGTTCAGAACGCCTGTGCTCGGCTTCTGACCAAGTCCTCCAAACACACCCACATCACCCCGCTTCTCCTCCAGCTTCACTGGCTGCCAGTCAACTTCAGGGTTCATTTCAAGATCCTGGTTCTGGTCTATAGGGCCTTACATGGACAAGCACCATCTTACATTGGTGATCTTCTTAGTCCCTACACCCCCAGCAGGTCCCTGAGGTCCAGTGATCAAAGCCTACTGGTTGTGCAGCACCAGGCTAAAGGTCAAAGGTGACAGATCATCTGCTGCTGTGGCCCCCAGACTCTGGACCTCTCTCCCCCTGAGCCTGAGATCAGTGGACTCAGTGGTCTCCTTTAAAAAGCAGCTGAAGACTCACTTGTTCAAGCTGGCTTTTGTATGACCTTCTTCACCTCTCTCTCTTTATTCTGCTCTCCCCACCTATTCCACAGTATTTAGAAATAATATATGAGTGTTTAATGGTTTATTAGTTCACTGTTTTATCTTTAGAAGGTCTTAAAAAGTCTTTAATTTCATTTTGAAATCCCTGCATATACCATATTATTATATGGTATATGCAGGGATTTCAGTACAACATATAA